AAAAAAAAAAAAAAAAAAAAAAAGCAAGCAAGCAAGCAAGAAAAGGTAGAAGAGGCAACAGGATGAGGTAAAAAGGCTGTAAGATTTGATAAAGAAATATTATAAAATTACTAATAACAGCAGGATGAAAACCTGCATCAAAAGCAGTACATAGCAGAACAGTTCTAAAAGTTAGTGGCTGGGAGTGGTGGGTCATGCCTATAATTCTAGCACTCTAGATAGAAGGCTTAGAAGGATAGATTACCTGAGCTTAGGAGTTAGAGACCAGCCTGAGTGAAAGCAAGACCCCTGTCTGTACTAAAAATAGAAAAATCTAGCTGGGTGTGGCAGACATCTGTAATTCCAGCTACTTGGGAGGCTGAGGCAAGGGGACTGCTTGAATCCAAGAGTTTGAGGTTGCTGTGAGCTATGAGGCCATGGCACTTCACCCAGAGCACAGAGTGAGACTCTTGTCTCAGAAATAAATAATAAAATAAAGTTAGTAACGTGGAAAGCAAACCTAAATGTCTCTCAGAATGCAGATAAAGAGGATAAAAAGATGAAAATGGTAAGAGGGAAGATATGGGAAAAAGAGAATAGCAAGTAAAAATACAGATAATTAAGCTCCTAATGGAAAGCCTAATACAAAGGGGACAGAAGCAATAATTAGAGATGTAATTAGCTGGACCTTAGATTTCTCCTCTGCAATACTAAATTCCAGAGTGAATAGCACCATACCTCCATAAATTTTAAGACTACTGTTAGCCCCACATTTTATATGCAATAAGCATTAATGATTACGTGAAAAGAAAACAAAGATACTCCTTGAAATCTTCTTTTTGCAGTGATTTTGTTCCCCCCCCATCTCAGCCACTCACTCCCATGATCATACCCTAAGGATCTACTGTATTATTACCAATAATCATATTCCTTCATAATCTCATGCCTCTCTCATTCTCTGACCACAATCTCCTGTCCTTCCTTCTTACTCTTTTCAGTGCCTCAACCTCTCTTTGTTCCTTATCTAGTTTAAATTCCATATTCAATCAAAATAATTCACTACCTTACATATACTTTTTATTTCTTTGTCCCTTTCTTGCTGCTGTTTTTTTTTTTTTTTTTAAAGCAAAGATACAGCTCTTTGCTTGTGAGCTGTGGTCAAATTTTACTCTCTGTTACTGTACATTTTCATGTTTGAGTTTGAAACCAGCTGGGAGCTATCACTTTAATTTCTTGATGAAAATCACAAATAGGCTTTTTTTTTTTT